CTGGCCTTGAATGCCTGCAGGTTTGGGGCATCCACAGCCTCCTTGGGCAACCTGTTCCAGTGCCTCACCACCCTCTGGGGGAAAAACTTCCTCCTCATATCCAACCTAAACCTCCCCTGTCTCAGTTTAAAACCATTCCCCCTTGTCCTATCACCATCCACCCTCACAAACAGCCGTTCCCCCTCCTGTTTATGAGCTCCCTTCAAGTCCTGGAAGGCCACAATGAGGTCTTCCTGCAGCCTTCTCTTCTCCGAGCTGAACAAGCCCAGTTCCCTCAACCTTTCCTCATAGAACAGTTGCTCAGCCTTCTGATCATCTTAGTGGTCCTCCTCTGGACCCGCTCCAAGAGCTCCACGACCTTCCTATGCTTTTGGGCTCCAGGCCTGGACACAGCACTGCAGACGGTGCTTCACAAGAGCTGAGTAGAAGGGGACAATCACCTCCCTTTCCCTGCTGGCCACCCCTCTTTTAACACAGCCCAAAACACAACTGGCCTTCTGGGCTGCTCTCAAGGAGATCTTCCCCCAGTCTGTACCCATACCTGGGATCTCCCCGACCCAAATGCAGCACCCTGCACTTGGCCTTACTGAACCTCATTAGGTTTTCGTGGGCCCACTTCTCCAGCCTGTCCGTGTCCCTCTGGATGGCTTCCCTTCCTTCCAAAGCATCGACCGCGCCGCTCGGCTTGGTGTCATGCAGGCACTGGCCGTACGCTGGTTCTGGAGACGTAACTCCTTTCTCTTCCAGGTCTGCCTGGAGATGTGCCCGGGGTCTGCGTGCCGCCGGCTGCGTCCCAGCGCCGCATCGCGGAGCTGTCAGCAGCAGAGCTGGCCGTTCCACCGAGCGAGCGCCGCAGCAGTGCCACCAGCACCATCAGCTCAGCCTACACCGTCAGCCGCCGCTCCTCCGCCGCATCCCCGTACCTGGTGGGGCCAAACCTGGCCGGCGAGGCGGGGACGATGCCGGGATGCTCGGATGGCTACGACTGCATCTCTCCGGATGAGCTGCGACGCTCCGGCAATGCCAATTGCAATGCCAATCCCTGCGGGGCGCTGCCGGGCGTGGGCAGCCTCACACCGGCTCAGTGCTACCGTCTCAAAGCCAAATATGCTGCGGCTACAGGTGGGCCACCCCCAACCCCACTGCCCAGCGTGGAGCCGCTGGGCATGGGCGGCCACGGCAGCTTGCCCGGGGACTGCCTCGAGCCGGCCGTGCCCTCCTTCTTTACAAACGGCTTGCTGCGAAGGCACAGCTCCAATGAGCACTATGTGAGCAGCCTTCACCCTCATCTCCTGCCTGGGAATGGTGTGAGGAGGGCCAGCGACCCGGCCCGGACTGCAGCCAACCCTCAGGCTGTGCCCAAAGTGCAGCGTTTTAAAAGCGTGGGGAACATGAATGCGCCGGGAGGGAGCAGAGCTGCCCTGCAGCCCCTGGGTGCTTCTGATGCCAACCTCCAGCACCGTGTCTTCTCCCCACGCCCACCCAGCATCAGTGAGAATGTTTACTTGGAGAGTGTGAACGCGGAGGGCCCCGCACCTGGCACGGAGTCTGGCTTGCTGGAAATGGACCCATTCTTGAACTACCCTGAGGAAAGCTTCCCGTGCCAGGGGGCCAACGTGCAGCTGCAGTGTGGGGGGCTGTATGGCGGCGCTCAGCGGACCCCGGGTGGGGGAATGCAGCTGAACCCAGGTGGGCATGGAGAGATGGAGGAGGGACTGCTGCAGCCTGAGTTCTCCCTCCCGCAGTGCCAGTTGAACCAGCACTTCCCCAGCCTGCGTGCTGGCAGCGGGACCGTGCTGCCTCAATGGGAGGAAGCCCCCCAAAGCAATCATCTGGAGCTGAGCTCCGGGCAGCCAGGTGTCAGTGCCATGGCTGAGACGCACTGCCACCGTCACACCGCTCTGTACCCGCCGCCCAGCCACTGCGTGCAGCACCCCAAACTGATGAGCACGTGCCAGGATGGTGGCTTTTCTGACGGGCACCGCTTGAACTGCCTGCAGATCAAATCTGAGCAGCGGTACTCAGCACCTGCCCCGGCCCTCACTCCGTGCCAGAATGCCAAAGCCACGCAGCAGCCCGCGTTCAGCCAAGCCGTGAGCGGGTACCGGGCTGAGGAGCAGACACCCAGCAGCTACGTGGGCATGCTGAGCCCACGGGGAAGGAGAGCCCACACCCCCACTTTGCAGGCCAAAGAGGTGATGGTCCGCAGCTACGTGCAGGCACAGCAGGCTCTGATGTGGGGAGAGCCCCCCAAGGGTGGTGAGGCCAGCATGGGGCTGGGCACTGAGTCTGGGCAGTACCAGGGCGCGCACGCACCGCCCTACCTTGGCCCCAAATACTCTGGTTACCAGCCCAAAACGAATCACCTGCAGGGGCTGGTGGAGAACCCCCACCTCCTGAGCCCCCCATGCTTTAACCCTGAAATGGTGCCACATCCCCCCAGCGGTGCCAAGCCACCGGGCCACCAGAACAGCGTGGGCTATGGGGGCAACCTGGCAGAGCCCAACCCCTCCTATGAGGCAACGGGTGCCAACCCCCAGCGCGGGCTGCGTCTGCCCCCAGTCCACCCTGCCCCCGAAGTGCCCAGTGACACATTGCTCTGCTACCCGGGCCAGGTGGGCAAAGGCAGCCACAAGCTTCAGGGTCCACCTGCTGCAAGCTGTGGGGGTCCCGGGCACTGCACTGGGAGCCTGGGGGGCAACAAAGGCAGCTCTTGCTTCTACCCAGACTCGGGGCAGCAGGCATTCAACAGCCTGGACTCGCTGGACCTGGAGAACACTCACCTGGACTTTGCTGCCATCGTGGAGGATGCAGAGAGCTCCACGCTCCTGCCCGGCCCCCCCAGCCCCACTGGGGGTCTCCTGCTGCCAGCACCCGGCGGTGCCAACATGGCTGTGGGTGACATGAGCTCCATGCTGAGCACTTTGGCTGGGGAGAGCCACTTCCTCAACTCCCTCTCCTGAGCTGGAGGTGGGGGGGGAGAGAGGAGCACCTGACGTGCAGGTGGGGTGTCTGCACAGGCCCAGATGTGGGGGCAAAGTGCCTTTGGGGAGAGGCATGGGGGTCCCCCACCTACCACAGGTGTGTGGTCTGGGGGGGGGG